TTCTTAATAGGTTACTCCCATATAGTGTGCAACAGACAATTTCAACATGTTGATTTCTGCTCCAGTATCTAGGGTAACATTCAGAGGAAAAATGTTTATAAAATGTTTTTAATGTTGGAGACTGTTTGGTGCTTACACGTCTAGAAGTAGCCGAATGTATACCATAGCATTGAGATTGCTGATTGTCATCTTCGTAAGACTCTTGATCGATTTCCGGATCCCCCGCAGTTTCGTCCGAGACAGTTTGACGAACACTTGAAAGATAACGCTTGTCTTCCTCAGGTAAGAATTTGCATTTGCTGAGAAAATGATTGAAATGATCTTCGGCCAGCTTGTTTACATACATAAGGGGCACGAAGGGGTGGCACGAGAGATTGATCGAAATTTTTCCGTTGTCTTTAGAACCTTTAAAGCAGAACGCATGACTTTTGCATCAGCTACGGCATGTATTTCGTCTAGCAAACTGTCTAAAGCGAGAGAAATTTCAGGCTTAAGTGTGGGCTAAAGTCCTTGAACGAAGTTCTGTTCCGTAGCGCTGTTTTACTAGTGCCGGCAAACGATTGTCTATTAATCTCAACCATGTTAATACAACCAAGTTTTCGACTGTTGGGGTAATCTCTTCGTCTTCATCTGGTACAGTTCCCAATATGAGATAGGCCCACCATTCTCTCTTTAATGTGTTATCTTCGATAAAACTTGATAAACGCTGGTATAAATCCTCTGGTCTCTCTCCTGGTTGAAGTTGTATACTGTCAAAATCCAGAAAATGTGCTCCTGTTTGACTGGAATCCGAAATGTAAACGAATTGTCTGCCAAATAGTTTTTATTGACGTTGCATTTTTTCACGATAGTGTTACGAGAAATTATTGGGCAGAAGTTTGCAATTTGCCCTAACATGAGTTCTAGATAAATCACTTTTTGTTTGCAGCTGTGCGCCTCTTTGCCTCAGGAACTGATTCGCCATCATCAGTAAATCCGCGTTCTGGGTTTGTGTGTTTGTTTTTCGCTCCCACTGAAATCCCTCAACTAGGAACGGTGCAAAATTGGGATCCAGGGACAAAGTATATTGTAAATTTTTGTCTCCAAGACTCAAACGATGTAATAGTTGCTTGTTTGGTCAAACACCATTGCTTGGGTGCACGTACTTGAGCCATTATTGTAAATGTTTATGTGTTTTGTCACTACGCAGTAGAGTAGAACTATCCGTTTTTTTTTTGCACTTATTTTGACGTGAAAATGTCCACAACAGTGTCCGCAAAATTTACTGGGTTGCAGATTGAGAGTGAGTCCTTTTTCCTGATGCCACCACGCCAGTATGGTTTAACGGTATAGAAACACACAAATATTATGAGTTTTGTAGTTTATTAATATTGCCTAAAGAATCGGCAACAAATGGCGTACATGTAATACAAAGGGGAACAACTCTTTCACAATAATGTTCTGTATATGTCCGTACCATACCGTACGCTGACAAACCGTACCTGACTACACTATGGCGCTTCATACTTGTTGGAACATGATGCTTGCATTATTATATTAAAGCAATTATTGTTAATCCATGTTTGTGTGGGCATTGGCAGATAATTTGAAATATTTATTTTACTTATCAGTTTGTTTGATTTATACATGATTCATATTTGACGTTATTTTAGCTTCAGTTACGGGTGAGCGCTATAAGCTGACTTGCAGTTCCCAACCGGAAACATGGTGTGCAGGTATGTTTAAATTGGTACTTTTCGCTGAATAACGCAATGAACGCTATGTTACTATTAACTACTTTCAATAATATACGCTTATTCATTTTTTTCAATTTAAGATTCAGGAAAGATTTCCTCTTTGCATTGGGGTCATTGTTTGACTGAAGATTTTTCGCCGTATTTAAGAACCAAAATTGGCTTGTTATTTAATAATATACAATAGAGAAAAAATTGTTTTACTTATTCAAACAAATACTGTCAATTCTATTTACTCGAAATTAACAGAATTTCATTGTTGATTGCTATAATAATTTGTGACATATGATCATGTCTAGGATGTGGTAATCTTCCAAGTATCGACAATGGAAACATTACACTAAGCAATGAGAACGATTTTTCTTATGAAGCAACAGCCGAGGTTACTTGTGATTCCGGTTATAAAACAGATACACCAAATATAAGTTGTCAAGCTAATGGATCATGGCCGATTGCAAATTGTACAGAAAAACGTAAGCCGATTGATAACAATTTATTTTCCCCGGTTTGTTTGTCTTATCTTTTCCTATATTATATTACTTAGTTATTTCTGAGTTGGTAAATGGATCTGTAAGTATAGTTACTAAGAAAATAAAGTAAACATTCATGTATATATAACTTATTTTGTACTGGTATGTGTTTAATTTTTATCTTGAATGATGTTACATGATAAACTATTGTTCTATGTGTAATATTTAATAGCACCATGTTCAGCAAATGAGTGGAGATGCGATAATGGAGATTGTATACTCGAGAGCCAAAAATGTGACAATTTTCCCGACTGCACTGATGAGTCTGACGAACAGATCTCGACTTGTCAAGGTAAATTCAAAGATGTTTATTTAAATTTATTCCATTACGAATTCGATAAACACAACTTTTAGGGAAAATCATCGCGGCAATGAAAGTATCGATGAACAAGCATTTCAATTCGCTGATTTGTGACTTCCTGCTTATTTTACATCATAATTGCATGAAATAGTTACTAATGTTTATCTAACATATAGTTTTAATCACTAAAAAGCACGTCAAGAAACTAACATATATTTAATTATATAGATTCTGCATAGTTATTCAATTTTCTATATTGTTAGAAATATTGTTCTTCTACTTCAATCTTTTATCGAAACCATTAATTACTGTAACAACGAAACCTCTTGTACAGTGAAACTTTAAATAACGTTTGACATACATTATTTCTTTAAGATCGAACCTGTCCGGAGGTCTTGAGGCCAGTTACCTTTCTAATGAAGCATCCGTGTGTGTCAAACAAAAGGGAACTGAGTTGTGCGTAAGTATATCATTTATCATCGAAATTATATGTTTTTTGTTTACAAATAACATTTACTTGATTTATTGGTATCAACAATGAATTGTTGCCTAAGTTGAAAGTCCATATTATTCTCATAAACAGTATATTGTCATTAAAAGAATTGGTAAATGTTTTGTTATTTATACAAATTCCTTTCTGAAGATTTTGGATGGATATCAAAATGCTGGTGTAACCAGGCAAGAGTGTCCGGGGTCTGTCTGTAATTTATTAATTTCTCCTGGATCATAATTTATGGTGTATGTTCAAGGTCAAAAATTTTGACATGAGTTATGACTAAATAATTACCCTTTTTCACTTTCTTGAACATTTTTGGTTTGAGATTTGCATACAACATCAATCTTCGAATATACTTAAGATACCTACTTTTATCTTAATACTAGCTTTGTGATATAACTAGAAGTCACTTTACAAGACCCATATCTCTTACATGGGTTTTGACTGAATGATGGCCGTTTGTGACCTAACTAAGTCCTTTGGTCAGTATCCAAGTCATGAATTTTAATGGTATCTTCCTTTTTGTTAAATCCAACTTAATTCAGGCTCTTGTAAATATCATCCACACAAAATAGTCGGGAGCAGTAAGAGTTATTGATAAACTTATTTAGTTATAAATCAAAACTTTACTCCAGCTTAATTTTACTTACTTTTACGGATTATTAAAATTATTTTCATTATTATCTAACCACTAATTATTACATAATTTATTAATTATTATTACTTAATTTTTTATTATTATTAAATTTATTCCAAATGTTTATAAGTTTAATCAACGACAAGTAATGAATTAACGGTTAAATATTCACCTGTGGGATTTTAAATGTGCTTTACTTGCAAAATGGTTTGATAACCCAGTAACATTTCTTTGGCGCTTTTTAACAAAATTTGTTCCGATGTGCTGTTAAAAATAATTTGTTTTAGGCTGTGGTACTGTACCATCAATTGAAAACGGGATTGTTTCACTTGATGGGAATTCATCATTTGGGTCTGTAGCTGATGTGACGTGCAATGAAGGATATGATCCGAGTAGTGCGAACATTACTTGTTTAATGACTGGTTCATGGGAGAATGTCTCTTGTGCAGTTAAAGGTAATTCCGAAATATAAACAAGAAAATTGTGAATGATATAAATATATAGATTAAAATATATCAATGATTATTTAACATCTAGAAACAGAATATATAATGACCTAGTATATTTTAGACCACTTTAGATTTTTTCATAAGCATACAAAAATTCTTCGCATATTTCATAAAAACAGTTCGCAAAGAGCTGTGTCAGTCTCGTTAAACAAATATGCTTCATCTACTAACAGAATATCATACTCTACGACTACATAATTTTTGAATTTCCACATGCAGCTTTTAGATAAAGTTATTTAGGAATTAAGTTCTGTTCTTTATTTTATTTCAATTACCATTGATTCATTTATGTTCGTATGTGCTTTCCTTTAGATGAATTATGTCCAGCTGATACAGGATAATTAATGTTTTATTATTTGTTTTATCAGTAAAACACCTACTCTGTCTCAAGCTTTTACAAAGCTTGTTTTAGTTCATTCAAATTTGAAAATAACTTCTATCTCATTTCTTAATATTGAATTATTGTAGAATAGTATTTTAAAAAATAAACATGATTTTGAGGTCTGAGCTTCAGACAGTAACTGTTTCAACATTTCTTTCTGATTCAGACCAAAATAAGCAAAGTTTGTATCCCAAAAGTACTTTAGTTTATAAGAAATCTCTATCATATATATAATCTGCTATGTGCTGCTAAAGATCCTTGGCCTTTTTTCTAAAGTTTTAACTCCTTTTTGGTTCATTAACTGATTCTGGTCTGGTTATGTTAAAACTATACACAATATACGCTGAATAAGCTGTCACACCTCTAAACAAAGATAAAATATATAATAAGGAAGTTGAATGAATTAATCTAGATTGTGGACCACTACCAGAACTCAATTTTGGACAATACAAACTTGTTAATGGAAGTAGCACAGTGTTTGGATCTGTAGCGAATGTGATATGTGAATCTGGATATACTTCTGATAAACTGGTTATTACTTGCCAATCATCCGCAAAATGGGAAACTGCTCTGTGCTCCATTAATGGTAATTCTACAGTTCGTAATCATTATTATTTTTATTAGATTTTTAAATATAACTTATATTTATTTTACAAACTGAGAATGTAAATAAGCTGATGCCATGAATATTATAAAATAAATTTTATCTTATAGCCTTATGAGATGTCTGATATCTAGAAATGTGCGATAAATTTGTCCTAATGTTCCTGTTCAGTATGCTTACGCTATATGTTTACGGCGGACACGGCAAACATTGGAGGAAAACTGGATGAACATGAAACAATGCGGGAGAGCGCAAAAGGCGGACGTGACAGACCGTAATTGCCGGATGCAGCCAGAATTAAACTTTAGCCGCGACAGTCACTATGGAGATACAAAGCGTGATAGACCGTAGTAAAACATGTTAAACGGTATGCAACGGTGTAGTACTTAATATCCGTTTTTGGCTTGCAGCCACGGCTGCAAGCCCATTTGTTTTGGAAAAGTTGTTCCGGTTAGGTGGTTTCCTGCTTACATTTGTAAGTGCATGATTGAACGGGAAACCAGCTGCAATCGTCTCGCCAATCGCAACTTTTCGGCCCTTTCCGTCACTCTTCGGATTTAATTATAATAGCCGAGGTTGTTCCCGATTGCAATCGTGACATTTCGGGCGAATCCGTCATTACTGCGGAATCAGACGAAGTGATATTACGGAAATCTAAGCTATTTTAGTTACTTTTTTGGTAATCCCAGATTGTTTTTCTATTTTACTTGATTCCGTTTAAATTCTTTTTCAAAGACGCAAAAGTTAGTTCTTTTATAATTGGTTTTTTGTCTTTTATTAGTGTTATACAATAGAGAATGGTTACTATAGTAGTATTCCGTCTCCAAAGGGCGGTCCTGCATACCAAAAGATTCGTGACCGAATTACGCAGAATATTAGTGCCTGATCAAGTTATATTTAGATCTACTGAAAACATAGTTTAAACGGCTTGGTGAGGTAATCTAAAAATAGCCCATGCATATCATTAACCTTACCACGTGCTGATCTCCTGTGTTGTTGATCATAGATATTTTAGGTGTAACATAGTTGATACATGCTTATTAATTGGTAAAATCTACCACGTAACGAAGTCTTTTAGTGCATTCACTTGTCTCTAAAGCTGCTATAGAAATGAAATTAGCAACTGCCAAAACGAATGACTCTCTCTGCGAAAAAAGTGGAAATGAAATGTGCACACTTGTTTCCCTTCAGTACGATAGATTGATCTCCACGTGAGAGCCAATGTTAGTATTTTACGATTGATTATTTTAATAGAGAACAGATTTCGAATCGTTTTTGACAAAAAATATTCATTTTTACAAAAAAAGTTGCTATTGTTATCGTCAGCATGTTCCCGGTCAGTTATAATCAGTGGACTTCTGGTCCATATTTGCACGCATAACACTGGTGCTCAAACAAATGGGCACAGGCGCTCGTCCAGTCTTGGGCTTACCCTGCCTATCCCTTTAAATGTGAAACTTTTTTTTCGAGAAAAAACTATATAAACCCTTTATGATATACAAATACTATAATTCAAAAAAAAAATTGTGATAATAAAATGATGACACAACTGAGCAAGCCTTTCCTTTTAAAAGGAAACTTTATTAAAACTTGTAAGTGGTCTGTAATGGGACGGCCAGTTGTATCATGCTGTGATCCATTCTTTTACGATTGTTCGCGGCAAGATAGTTTTTTGATAACAGTATGTAAAGTTGCTTCTGCTAAGTTTTAACTTTATTATTGTGGCAATGGATATTTTGCGTTTTGCTTTGTGAGGTTTTGACCTATATTTCTTTTCATATATATTTTGTTAGGTTGTTCAAAGTTTCATAGCGGTTTACACGCCGATAAACAGTGAATCTTAGGTCACAATTTTCCTGGTATTTATGATGTTTCCAGGTCCAATGCGAATGTTGAAAAACTCATAGGGCGTCTTACTTCTGGAATTTTTGAAATTAAAATTGCCCCCAACGCCAAAAAATGGATTAAAACTTAGGTTAAAAAAGTTTTTTGCTGGAACATTTCTCATGCATACGGATAAAAATCCGTACTGTGCGCGCGGGCATCTCGGGTGTTTATTACGGACACGACAGGCAGAATCGTTCATGTTTCAGAACTCATGGCAGTGGTACATTTGGTAGTTTTCACTCCAGATCACGGTAGTCAGTCACATTGAATATTCCTAGAGCACAGTACAGCCGCCGCATCGTTTGAGAACTCTACGTCAAACATTGATTGTGATGCTGTTATAATTTACACATTTTTATTTCAGGTTGTGGTTCTGTACCGTCAATTCAAAATGGAATTGTTTCACTTGATGAAACTTCAATTATTGGGTCTGTAGCTAATGTGACGTGTAATGAAGGATATGATCCGAGTAGTCCGACCATCACTTGTCTAATGACTGGTTCATGGGAGACTGTTTCTTGTGTTGCTAAAGGTAATTCTGTGAAATAAAAAAGAGATGAATGATTTAATAAAACAAAATTATCTATCTTTTAAATGAAATTTAACATTTTGACATTTCTCATGCATACGAATAAAACTCCGTACTGTAAGCGCTGGCAACACGGATGTATATTACGGACGCCCAGATAGAATCGTTCGTGTTTTAGAACGTATGGCGGTGGTGCATGTTGGTAGTTAAAACTCCAGCTCATGGTAGTCAGTCACATTGAATTTTCCTAGAGCACAGTTCAGTCGCCGCATCGTTTGAGAACAACTCGGCGTCGAAACAGTGATTGTGATGCTGTGATATTTCGGACTTTTATTTCAGGTTGTGGCCCTGTACCATCAATTGAAAATGGGATTGTTTCACTTGATGAAACTTCAATTATTGGGTCTGTAGCTAATGTGACGTGCAATAAAGGATATGATCCGAGTAGTCCGACCATCACATGTCTAATGACTGGTTCATGGGAGACTGTTTTTTGTGCAGCTAAAGGTAATTCTGTGAAATAAAAAAAGATGAATGATTTAATAAAACAAATTGATGTATCTTTTAAATGTAATTAGTACTAGTCTATTCAAATAAATTGTCGTCTGTTCACTACATCTAAAGCCTTATTTATTATCTATGCCTCTTTGATAAATTCAAACTTAGCTGTGAACACACATTCATTAATAACTGTATTTATTTTTAAGTGATAAATATTATTTAGGGAAATGTCTTGACTCAATATCAGACATTGCCAAGTGATTATGGCGCAAGTAATTCTTATTGCTGACCTTATACTTGTTTTGTTTTTTTTCACCAGCACTTCATCCAACGGAGAAGAAAGACACTGAAGTTGATATAATCATCATTATAGTCGTACTAGTTCTGTGCTTTATCATTCTACTCCAGCTTCTAGTTATGTGTTACCTACAATGTAAAATACATAATATAAGAAGACGTGCAAGTAATTACGTTGTCAATAATATAAGAATAATAGTATACACAATTGACCACCAGCCTGAATCATGAAACGTTAGAGATTTTGATGTAACAGTACCATTTTTCTCAATATTTTAGTCACAACAGGTTTTTTTTTTATTTTTTAAACACTTACAATTTAAATGTAACACTTGCTGTAACCAAATTTATTAAGTATATGTGGTAAACAAGGTTTTTAGATTATTTCTGTATAATGATGCTTTATATCCGATAAATTTGAAACACGTTTTTAGTCATATGGTAGTTTACACATTTGGCGAAGGTATCTTCTTACAGACTTTTAAAAACGTTTGATTATAGATCGCGAAGAGTCTGAGGTCAGTAAGCGGATATTGATGACTATATTAGGAAGTATTCCAGTGGTCGGACTTATACCAATTTATATAACATGGAAGATGTTAAAGATAACTGTTTACAAACGTAAGTTAAGTTGAATGCATGAACTTGTAAAAAGTAGACAGTGCTTTTTAGAGTTCTGTTTATATTTAAACGAAATTCCACAATTTGAATTTCGCCAAGGCGTCTAACTTCGATTTGTGCAGTTATGACAATTAAACAAATAAAAAAGAATAACATTTCTTTGCACAGAGCTAAAGATTATTTTTTTCTTTAATCTTTTCCTGCTTGTCATGCACATTAAAAGTGTCAATTTAGATTGTTTACTGCAATTATTTTTAATCAAGGTAAACATGACTGTTATCTAGGCGAAATATATCAAACATCAAGTTTAAATATTGATATTACAGTGTTAAGCTTAAAAATAATTCACATTTATCATCATTATTTATTTTGTTTTGTTTACCATTGTGGTACTGGTCTTCTTGTAAATTACTGAATGTTATTTCATGCAAATAATTTCAGTCACGCAAATGAAAGAAAAAAGTCTGGAGGACAGTAAAGGTGCTTCTAATCCTACGTATGGTAACAATAACATGCCCATAAATAAAAACGCAGGTGAATTCTCTCGTATTCATGACGCCAGTGAAATCGAACTAGAACAGACATCAGAACAGAAGACAGTACAAAATAATATGGACGCTGCGAAATGAATCAGAATCTACAAAAACTATTCACCCTGAAACACCCACAATGAGTGATGGGTAATCTTATTGCATATAATGTGTTTTGTTTCTTTAATTTGGATGATTTATTGTTATATAACAGGGTTTGTTTTCTTTATCAGAAATTCATAATTGAACAAAATCTAAACACTCTAAACGAATTTGAATTAAATTTAATATCTATTTGTTATATCATTGCCTTTACATTTAATATATCAGCCAAGGACAAGACGGCCATGAAGAACTTTAAATATGACCGATATTCAACCATCTATTATATTCTTTTATTTCCTCCAATAGTTAAAAAATTCACGATTTCAGCTTCACAAATTCAAGATTTCATCTTCACGAAGTTGAAAACGTGAATTCTCGAAGTTGAAATCGTGAGGTTCAAAACGTGAATTTATGGAGTTGAATTCATTATGTTGAAATTGTGAATTCGTGAAGTTGAAACCGTAAATCCATGAAGATGAAATCTTGAATACATGAAATTGAAATCGTGAATCATGTATGTAGAAATCGTGAATTTATGAAGTTGAAATTGTGTATTTGAGAACTTGAAATTGTGAATTGATGAAGTTGAAATTGCGAGTTCATGAAGTTGAAATTGTGAATTGTTACATGTGAGAAAATGGAGAGTATCAGATCTACATTATGGTCTAACCTGTCACATATTAGGCATACAACAATTCGAAATGTTTTGTTCCTTTTCACCAGAATCACAACTTTTAGAAATGTTTAGTGTTTTTGATTCTTATGACATGAACGATAGCCTGAGAGTATCATGTTTTAAGTTGTTCCTAGCAAGTGTCTATAGCATGACTACCTAAACAATGTATAAACTGTGATATAAGCAGATGGCGAATAACTTCATTGCATTAAGTTATATTGAGTTATGAACGTGTACATAAAGATTTAATACTGAATGTTATATATTTTCAATTATTTATGTTTGTTTTATGAATATTCCTATTATAAATGTACATTTTTGTGCTATCATTACTCTTTGTTCACAACACAACTTACACACCTTAATGTTTCGTTTTCGGTTTAAGGTTAACATACAAGTGTTGTTTTCATTAAGAATTCCCTTTTTTTTACTATTGCTCAATTTAAATCATAGACAATGTAGATTATAGATAGTCAATAATTGATAGTTTGCGTAAGTGCCCTTATTCATATATAAAACAACAACAACTGGCCTAGCTTAAACACATCTTAATCGCCTTGATAATTTCGTTTCGGTTACGACTAATTACATAATGTGTTTTTGGCAATCATTTAAATATCATAAAATTTATTTTTCCAATAATTATTCATCGTCTTTCCTCAAAATTGAAATTATTGTAACTTTAAACTACTTAATTGATTTGGAATTTACCTCTGCCTTCACCTAAGCAATTTTGTTACACTAAACAAGCTCAATTCTGATGCTCTTGATATATACAACCTGATATCTATGCAACTAAGTAGCTTATTCCCTTTATATATATTTTTATTCATTCAATTGACATTTGTTGATAGATATCACAAATAAATTGCATTAGTTATCTTTTAGTATAAATATATATGTTTGTACATATTATAATTATGCCTTTTCTTTACTAATTTATATAATTCTAAAAAAAAATTGTATTTATATTTACTGTATATATGATCCTTTGTTCTATCTCTAATATATATAATGTAAATGCTCTTCAGTTATGGAGGAAATAAAGATAATAATAATAATAATTTATAATATAATTTTGAAATGTGATTATATAATTATTGGTTAGAGAAACATTGTAATACGGGGGTTTAATAATTATATTAAATGGTATTTATAAACAGATGGTTTTGTGAGATATCTTTTAGATTCATTTATATACTGTTATTTTCTGATCCTTTTCACCTCAGTGCCCCAGCAAGATAACCTAAACGAATAGTGTATACGAAAAACAGAATAGGTCTTCGCTAGAAAATGAGTAAAAAAGTATAATATGAAAGTATTATGTTATGTATATATTCACATTATTAATTACATTGTAGGTAGAGTTATCAACACCATGGACAAGGATTATCTTAATTAAAATAACCACAATTCCATGTCTCCTAACGGAATAGTTTATCGACATATTTCTATTATCAGAGAATCTTTATATGTATTAATAGTGTAGCTAAACAATGACCACATTTCCATGCTTCTAAAAGCCATGTCTCATAAAGAAGGATAACTACTATAGTTTACCTAACATTTGTTAACAAATTTACTTCCCTTTATAGAAATAGTTTTTCTTCCTGGTTAAAGGTAATTTTTCAAAATACACAATTACATATTACATAAAAATATTTAAACAAATAATATCAAAATCAGCCAGAACTGTCTCCGCCTACTCTATCGTGGACCTGATCTCAACCAGAGCACTACATTGGGCCTAGAAGCTCCAAGGCGGTCTTCCTGCGTCAACGCACGCCCCATGCGAGTACTAGCTAGTACCCCCGACTTCACGATGAGTCAAGCATGTATATCACAGCTCCATCAATCTCAATATCTATATAATTTTGTATGTTGATGTAAAACAGCATACATGTAATTGTTTGAAATTAAAGCATTTTTCTACCACACGATTCTAAATGGGACCTAAAGAGAGTAAATATCATCTCTATTGGAAGTGTAAAATATGTATGTATGATGTACTGGTGGCCCGAAGCTTTTTTCTTATGATGTGTCACAAAAATATATGTATTACATTATAATGAAAGAAGACAATGAGAAAAAAATTCTACATGTATATGACACCTCTCTGACTCTGGATGGTATTATAGTTTATTATTATTTTTTAAGATTGTTATAAACATTAAATTTCCTTGTGTTTTAATGTGGGGTAAGAGTATATTCAGATAATTATTCAATTACGAGCTGTAATATTGACAAGAGTTTGATAAGGAGACCGTCTATTATTAAATTCATCCCAGTTACAGGAAGAATATTGAATATACTTTTCTACATTATAATGAAAAACTAACGTATTATGAAAAGTTTGAGTTATTATACCTTCACGTGTAAATATTTTTTTTTTTGCAACAAAAAAATAACCTTTAATGTTTCATCCTTTTTCTTTCGATCAGTTATATATACCAAAAAGAACTTTTTTTGAGAGTTCATCATCATATTGTAGTTCTTTATTGTTTACTAATATTTCATAAATAGGTAGATTACCTTTTATGTTTTGTGTGATGACTTAATTTTGTTTGGGAATGATTGGTTTTCAATGTATTAAATTGAGCAGTAAATATTTCAAGTTAAGCTCTAAAATTTGTTAGGGATCTTAAAAGTCCCTCGTATTGCAGGAAATTTATGTTTATTTGTTGAATACTGACCGTCATTATCTATCAAATCAGCAACAAATGTAATACCTTTTTGAAACAAATTATTATAAAAAATTGATGAACCTCCGTCCGTCACTGTTGGAATGAACAAGGCTGGTTACTTAAGATACTCTTGCTAATTAGTTATTTGTACTTTTGGATAAAATATAGTCCACGGTTAGAAAACATCTTTCCAAAAGTGGTTATCGATTCTATGTGACTGATTTTTTTTATAAAGTCAGGACCCAATTTTGAAAGTTTATATATATTCTGAAAAGAACGTTCGATGATGTTTTTCCATTTTTTTGTTTTCATTGAACATTGATGTGACTCTGACACATTTTCAACAAAATATTAAAGAATATATTGAATTAAGGATTTTAGTTCAATCATGTTTAAGCCACCTTCTGAAATCGGTTTAATAATATACTTCTCGTTTAATCTTGTCTCTTGAGTTATTCCAAAGAAAATTCAAAAAATATAGTTTCTAGTTCTTTGATTACTTCGTTGGGCGGATTTGGAAGAGAAATAAGTAGATGATTGATTTTTGATAAAGCCAATGTTTTAATAACAGTTATTTTCCCATAATGAGTTTGAATTCTTTTCGACCATTGCTGTGTAATCTGCTATTTTCTCATTATACGAGGGTTGCTCAAAAAGTAATAGGACTGAGAGTCTTGCATATTCATATTTCATCCAATTTAGAACATTCTCATATGTATATGGATCGTAAAATGTTTTCTACAATTTATGCATAAGTTTTTTAATTTATTATGATGAACACGCGTTTTCTTTGACATTGAATAACCATGGTAACACGCAACAGGCGCAGCACGTAAAATAGTTATTGAAGATATGTGGTACTTCTTATTAATTCATAATTTATACTCAGTTTGTCCATATATTCCAACAACATATTCATTTTTATTTAAGTGATATAATATCTAAATTTGACCTCATTCGGGCATGAAATGGCATAATTATTTATTTTTGAACAGCTGTGTTCTTGGCGGTTAATGTAGAAATACAGCACTCGGTAACAAACATTGTATCATAGTTTGGGGACCTTTCTGTAGAAAATGTGTCAGAGTTAAATCCTATACCAAGTAGGGCACGTGTGTTAAGTGAAGGGGTGTGGCTTCATTTTCAGCATAGTAGAGTGCGATTACTGGAGTGCGGGTATTGCCCGTTTGAGGTCCAAACAGAAGCAAATAAAAACGATATGAACTTTATTAAACTTTATTAACATACATCAAATAAATAAAATCTCAATTTTCTAAATTTTTATTTCTAACTTCTTAAATTGTAATTATAGCGGGATGTCTCAAAAGTTAAACGTGCATCCCGTGAAATTAACTTTGCCAGATTGGTTTGTAAGATCTGCCAGAGCATCACGTCTTTTCTCAATGTTATTTGAAACAGTGGTTTCAGACTTATCTGATGTTGTTTTACAAGAACTTTCATTTTTCTCGTATTTAAGCACTTTTGATACATGGAGATCAGTATCTTCCTTATTAAGATCAAGCACATTAGATACCATTTTTCGAACTTGATCGGATGACTGTTTATATTTCCGCACTGCGGTTACTGACCTATGGCCAGTTCTGTCCATAATTTCCTGCTCATCAATTCCTGCAGTATACATAGTTGTTGCACACGTGCGTTTTCCACTATGGTTGGTAAAACTTCCCTGTAATGACCCCTTTTCAGCTATTTCCTTCATAAATTTGTTGAGTATATTTATACCAACCGGCTGGTACCCGTATCTAATAGTTCCACTCTGCGTTGACGGCAGCGGTCGTCTATAAAAATCTCCATCGTTTCCAAGGACATTCAAATAAGTCTCGAAATGAGTCACCATACATTGTGGACCTGTGAAATCAAACAACAAACGTATTAAAAAAACTGTTGGGTTTTTTTTATTTATGAATAAAATTAGCACACTACAACGAATTGTCGCCTGATCGTATGTGACGTCTGCTCTAAGTGATGTAAATATAAAATACGTAGACAACAGTCAAGTTTTTTTCCACAAATACAGGATAATTATCATAATTAAAGTGGTTTGAAAAAAAAATAGTTCACGGGTGGCTAAATATAGTAATTTGCATACCACAAACATTTTTTTCTTTTTAGACATTACAAATTGAAATACTTCTACTTAAATTTTGTGCATAGGCTGAATTTAGAAAAAAAGTGGTCAGCGAAAATATTTTTTTACAGTGAAAATACCGAAAATGAATATACGCACTTTAAATCACCAATATTATACATGTACAATATTTGATTTACTAGCATAAAAAATGTCGATCTTTTTAATTGAAAACATTTTATTTTGCGATATTTATTGGGAGATAAAACTGCATCAAATCGGTCAAAAAGACTTGACGCTAAATTCTGAGTGTAATGAATAATTTAATTTATTTTGAATAGGAAAGAACATACCTGATTTACAGTAATGTTTGATATCTTTGTTTTTAATTGACATCTGTCCAAGGCCATAATGCTATGTTTTTGAGCCTCGACCAATATATCGTATAAATCGTCCACCGTCGTCTTCGCCAATTTCAAACCGGTTACACTGAAGGTTAAGGTGTTCGTCTCTTCCTCGTAGCCCAAATAATTTACATGCGTAGAGAAAGACTGTGTACTGCAAATTTTTAGAATTTTTCATTCCGAAAACACCTTTTTCCCACAATTTCTCTTCGTTTTCGTTAGATATTGGGTCAGCTTGTTTCGTTTTTGTGCCAAGTCCCTAGTCCAAAAGTGTTTTTTTATTTTACTGTCTAAAATTGTTATTGATTCTGCGAATGTTCTTGTCGTGCACTCCACATTCGCGCAAAAGTCTCAAAAGTCCACACATAATTAGATATAAAGATTTTGGGGGATACTCCTCTCCTTTCTGGTTTCTAACTTCCATTAAAAACGAATAAGCCAGAAGATAAAGTCGGTTTTTCCATGATATGTATTTCTGGAATGTTATCTGCCTGTCTATGTTGTCGCCATGTTTCAAATATATTAAAAGCCCATTTAGTGTTCTTTGCAGTATTTTTGTTGCGTTTCGAAGACTTCAATTCTTCGAGTTCCGTGTCCGTAGCTTGTTTTCGAAACCTTTCATCGTTTATTTCTGATCTTACAGTTTCAACACATCTGTTTGTTTCCAACTTAAGAACATTTGTCTGAAACCTCGTGCTATTGTTCAAAATCTCGGGATCTTCTAGAAAGTCGAGCCCCAGATCAAAAGACGTATCTCTGTCTGTGCTATTCTCAAAATCCGAAACCATTTGTGAATAAACCACATTATCATTAATATTTTCTAGTTCAAAATCCAAGGGAATTTGGGAAAGAAAGATATTTTCACTAACGCGATTCAAATCCATTTCGTCAGAACATGCCATGTCTAGCAGTCCACAGTGCATTCACTAAACTGACAATTTGCCCAGACGAAAAGGGCGGGGTGTCGAGTATCGTTTTTACCTGGTCGCAGATTGGCTTCTTTTCTCTGGGGTTCACAAATTTTGATTACTGGGAATATGATTGTATTTTATTGGCTATGATACAAAACAGAAAGAGCACAAAAACACTCGGCTATCAGATTTATACTCGGGGGCTACGCCACCTCGTACAAATCAGATAAGCTCGTGTTTCAGTGCTCCTTCTATTACTTAGCACATATTTACCAAATTAAATTGGTCAGGCGCATACACTGATTAACAGTTTGCCGATTTACCGAAGTAAATGTGTAACGATTTATTTGAAATACTGCAATCCTATTGGACAAGAAATAATCTCAAACACTAAATTTACATAACAAAACAGCAAGTAATAGTAATATTTTTAAGTATTTCCCAAAAAAATCAAATACTGCTATAAAAAGTATTTACTAAAATTGCTGTACCAGTAATGAACACACTGATCGTTAAGATAAGTGTTTGTAATTTAATTAAAATGAACTTAGACTACCAACAAAATATATTTATTTAAAAAAATTCAGCAACACAGGTTGTCCATTCCGACCTTTCCCATTTTCCCTCCTCATTTATCTGCCTACATGTGAAGGTGTCTGAAAGAATATTAGTGATTGGGTCGTAGTATGTATTTCAGTTAAAGACCGCCTAAGGAGGCGTGTGGGATGTTGCACTTATTCATTATCCCTCATGTACAGATTCAATCAAACCGAGTCTGCAATTTTCATGTAATTTTGTTGTGATTAATGCTTCTGAGTTATCACTTTGTTTCCAGATTCATATCTTTCCATACTGTAGCCTCAAACCTCTTGTCTTTTTCTGTTTCGTAAGAAATCCTACCCGTTTCAGGTTTTTAACTTTGTTGTCCTTCTCCAGGGTTTAGATGCCTTCAATTCTTAAGGCCAGTATTTTCTTCCAACATTGAATGAACCACACAAGTATGTATCTTGTTCAAGCAGCGACAATGCTAATTCAATGGATGTATAGTATTTGTCAACGAATATAATATGGTTTCGTCCGTATATTTCTTCAGAAAGGTTTTCGACGACTCTTTGTGTTAATCCTTTTCCTTTTGCTTTCGGATGCTTTCCTAGAAATAGGATAAATAGCCCGAGAAAGCATCAGCTGCAACAAAACTCTTTAAGCTAATGTTTAGCTGGCTAATTTGGCCCCCAACAATTTCCTGGGCGTGATATATAACCATAGCCTCAACAATAGTCGCTTCCTGATAAAGGTTGTAAAGGCGAATGCTATTTTGCCTTACGCTTCAATTAGTGGAGAAACTTTATTGAGTGGGTCTTTCTTCGAAATCTCTGTTGCTTTTTATGGATCAGCTAAGCGGGCACGATCTTGTAAAGGGTCGTTGATATGGAAATATCTCTGTATAAGTTTGAATGTTTTTATTGACATTATTTCTGAAACTCTAATTTTTTTCTTAGCGAAGGGTTTGTTGACCAATAATCCTCCTGTTTTTTATCGATCCCCATAATCATACGAATTCCAACATAAGCTTACATAACTTCAGGTGTCACAGGTTTAAATACTTTCTCGGTCCAAACTGGATCAATTTTCTGTCTGTGTGCTGTATTTCTTTCATTTTCTTCTCTCCAGTTTGGCGCTTATTTTTTCGATTAGGAGTTCCAATGGCATTTCATCAGATGTGGTAAACTCATCTTCAGATTTTGATCTTTTATTATTTTGCTGTCTGCGTTCATTGAGTAAATTTTGTATCTTTTTATATATAAGTTCCTGCAAGGCCATTTCATCTGACATGGAACAACTGTCCGTCTCATTTACAAGTAAGGAATTTCCGGGGAATCCCTAGTTTTGATAAGTTTTCCATACGGCATCATGTGGAGAAAAGTCCATGTATTTTCTAAATTCTGTGTCTTTAGCTAGATCTGTTTCTTTATCATGTTGGCCACGCGAGTCTGAAGTTGCGAATTTCGTCTCCATCTCTGTCTCTGTTGCTACATCTGCTTTTTATTATGTTGGCCACGAGAGTCTGAAGTTGCCTTGTTCGTCTCTGCTGTCTCTGTTGCTACATCTGCTTTTGATCATGTAAGAATCTAAATGACTGTTTTAAGGTAGCTCGCTACTTTCCGACCGAAATATGACAATATCTCAGATCTTGATGATTTTTGGTATGCAAACATATAAATATGTAAGCTTTACTTCTGCAGCATTATTTTATAAATAAACAGCGTTACTATGACGACAAAGCGCCCTCTATCGGTGGCGGCGAAATTGCGTCTTTTTTATCAATAAACCGGTCTGTTCTTATTAATTTTCATCCGATTTCCTTCATTTTAATTTTATAATGTTCAGTAAATGTATGTCTTTGCCACGATGTCTTTCTTGAACATTTGCTTAATACTCTGCGATTCTACGTTATTTTCCCTCACGTTCTGACGTCCATATTTGATGCAAATATCGCGCGATATCGCAATAAAGATTGTGAAATAATAAAAAATCAACACGGTGAATTTTGCTATAATTTTTTTAACGTGTAGTGAAGTCATAAAAGAAAATATTTATGCAATAAAAATATAGGGTCAACGCGTAAGATATTTTGCTATTACTATTTGAATATAAAATTAAGGGTGAGTAAAACGTAATGATTTTGGTGACGTCAAATATTTTTCTCAAGGAAATTTTTACGACTTTTTCGATAAATATCATACTGACAGGAATAAAAATGTGTGAAAACCATCAACAACAATAGTATTTAGACATGTTCCGTAAAAATCCTGTCAGATGCCTGCATTTCGATGAATATCTTCAATTATATACATGTACAACAAATCAGGGTATAACTGTCTGCCAAAGTTGGTATCAATCGCTGAAAAACTGCAACGAATGGATATAAATACCTCGAGGACTGAAAGACAATTTAGAATATTGAAAAATATAATTAAAAGGCCGGCTAAGTGGAAATTATAAAAACATAATCATGTTATGCGTATGTCGGTACAACACAAACTTCCATGTTATCATATGTGGCAATTTTGAATTGTATATATATATCGGTTAGTAGGAACAGTGACATAGATAACATCTATGTCTCTGGTAGGAAATGAATCAAATTTACGTTTCAAAAATATATGATCAACTGGAAGTAGCAACGACTTGTACGTAAGTCACGATTCACTGGTAGTCTTAATTATATTATAAAAACTAGCAGACATTTAATTCAACAATTTTCTACACGTATAAAAATTCATTTATTAACAGCCATCAATTATTCCATTTTACTCTCGCAGCTAAATACCCTGCACTAAGCGTGAGACTCAGTTTTAAAGCAGGAATCACGCTCTCGTGCTATGGCTTTAATTTCTCACGTATTTCACATACTTACAGATATTCTTATTTATTTTAAACTAGCTGACTCGCGGTATGCGTTTAC